TGTCCACCGTCCTCCTCCCTCCGGCTGAGTTGCTAAATTGGTGTGATCAATTTCTCTAACAGTACCCAACAAATGTCATTCAAGCCTCGTGTAAAGAAACTGGGCTAGATTATAATTTAGAAATATCTGATTTCCCCCTCACGGCGCCGCTGGCGATAATTCAATTCTCTAACTTTTCAGCAAGTTTTCCACTTGCCGTGGCGCAAAGTTTCTACTTTGCACGCCAGAATAAATGGCCTCATCAGCACAAAGGCAATTTTTACACACAAGGACTGGAGGCTTTATTAACATACATTTAACACTGAGAGAGAAAAGAGATTTCATTGCAGTCATTTATCAGATAATTTTGTTTAATTTAAACTTTTTGTTCATTGGTTTGTCTAAAATTTGGACTTTTCACCCACTGGTGCTCCTTTCATTTGTGCGCTGTAGCGCCCTTCAAACCAGGAAATCTTTATTTCAGCATGTGTGAAAGCTTAGTGTAACACATTGGACATGATGTGAAACACTGTGTGAAATACTGCTGTTTAATGACATCCCACTGCCTGGAGCTGTGGGAACTATCGGTCTGATTCACATTCTTTTTTTTTTTTTTTTAATTTGCCCACTAGCATTTGAAAATTAGACTTTATTATCCCACAAAAGCTCAAGCGTGAGGCCTCACCTTCCACCACATCCACTTTCTCCACCACCTCTTTCAATCTCTTTCTTATCTGCCCTGGAGTTGATATTTTGTAGTGGTGTCACATCTTCCCATAATCCCTCTCTGGATTGGCTGCAGCCCCTTATCTCTCAGCCCTGAAGGTCAGCATGTGAGAGGCATCAGTAAAAGAAAATGACCTGCATCAAACACACAGCGGTAACATCCACTGAACTAATGGTGGTGCCCAGTGACTTTGTTAGAATGTAAGAATATATTGTTCCACTGACTTTGTTATTATTATTTAATTTATCTTTTTTTACCTAGAGCAAATGTCAACAACCTGGGGCTGTGACAGTTTTGAATTCAACCCCGAATAAATATTCAGATTTTAACAAAGTTAAAGAAATTAATAGAATGAAGCCTACTGTATATACAGTGCAATAATACTACTGTCCATCCACATATTGTTGCAGTCAATACTGTATTGTGTTATTATATTATAGGACTGGAAGTACTCCCTTGAGGTTAAAATACTATATCGATGCCCAGCATGTTTTTATGGATGCTTCAAGTTCAGGTGAAATGTCAAGGCTGTAAGGCTGTAAGTCAAGAATGAAGGAAACTGTCGATACAAACCACTGTCAGGATGCAATTATTATTATTATTATATTATTATTATTATAAAAAATAATAAAAATAATAATGTGTATATTGTATGTATTTATACATAAATAAATACATACAAATTTATGCTCTATATATCATAGCTATATATATGTATACGTGTGTGTATGAGTGTGTGTGTACAGATACAAGTCCATTCTATGTATTAGTTACAAATAAGAACAGGTGTGAAAGATATCTTGATTTGTAATTAATCACGATTAATTGTGAATAATCGCGATTAATCAGCTACCCTGGGAATAATTAGCTTATATATGGTTTGACAGTCCAACTATAAACCATTGCAGACCATTCTGTCTTCAGTCAATCATGTGTTTCATCCTCGTTTACAGCATGTTTCTCGAGCAGTTCAAGGATTTTTTTGGAGTTTTTTGTTTTTCGGTTGCATGTTAAAAAAAAAACAATCTGCAACTAATTCTTCTGAAACAAAAAGAAATGCTGAAGACTCCTTAAAAAATGTCGTATGGAAAATGACTGCATCCATTTTGACAGAGACAATGTGTTTCCAATAGATATGTTTTTCTGAAGCCATTGTCTCTGTGTGGAGGCTGACGTTACCTCGTCCTGACACTGTGTTTTAAATAATCATGTTTCTCTCTGCGACTATTTCTATTTTTTTAAAACATATTTTGCAACATGACATGAAGCCCATAGTCTGACCCTGAATGCCTCTCCAACTTTTTGAACCAACACGACCCTGAGTCTCAAATATATTCAGCTTATCAGTTATTTCTGGCACAAGCAGCCACCCCCACTCGCCCTCCCCCTCAATAAATACGGGGTGGAGTAAGTAGATATGACTCAAAGGCATTTTGAATATTCCCCCCAAATATATCTATTCATAAAGCGGGGAGACGTAATTGGGTGATTTATGACCTTTTCACATCACTGGAGCGATTAACTGAAGACATCATTCAGAGCTGTCAATCAAACTGATTGTTCACATGGAAACAAAACACCATGCAGCCAATATGGATGCCAGCTGACTTGGGAATGACGTCTTCAAAGGGCTCTGACTAAAGTGTCTTCTTTGGAAAGATCACTGCTGTTGTGTTGTCGTTGCCTCGGGCAAAAAACTCCACCTGGCTCTGACCTCATACTCTGAACCTGTGCAAATTCATGTATTCACAGAAGCAACTCAAGGGCGACGTGGTTTAAAATGAACACCGTATCGTTCCCGCACCCTCATCACCGTTAGTCTGAGAGTTTGGCTATGCTCATAGCTTAATAGCACACCTGGGACACATCGTGACATAAAGCTATCATTAGCCTAGATTTAACGATCAGATGCATGTGATTTGTCTTTATTGGTCTTCACAGATGCTCACACCTGCATCTTCTTCCTGCCTTTCTCAGGTCGTATCACCAGCAAGAACAACTTGACACTAATTGGCTCATCATGTCAATTGCGCTCGTGCTTTAGGCATAGCTTATTCTGGTGTTTTTTGGAAAGGGGGAAAAAAAAAACACATTTTCTGGAAACAGATGAGGCTGAAAGGATTAGAATCCTGGGTGAGGTTGATTTTTTTGTGTGCTACTATTTTTTATCTCAGCTTATAAAAGGTGACATCTGCTCCTCAAACTTCACATACAACATTAGTCAGAAAGACACTGAAGGAACTTATTGGTTTATCGAGCCATACTCATATTTGGTTTTCACATTGCTGCCTCAGGTCTCATTGGATCTAGTTTTACTGATCTTCCTAATATCACCAGGGTCTAATCGGCTTATCAGGGAGAAACCCTGTGCCCCACCCCCCTGCTCCTCAGGGCCCGCTGGCTCACTGTCTAATTACCAGAGATAATGGAGGGTTAAGTCAAATGGCCCTGATGGGGTCCAGAAGAAGGTTATTAGGTGTCCTCATTAGTGCCCGACCAAAGTGAAAGGAGGTTTAAGGTCTTATTCTGATCCTGATGGATGGAGGTTCCATTCACTTTGTCCTTACAGAGTGTGTGTGTAACAGTGACAACGGTAGTGCAGAAAACCAGGAAGGAAGACACATGAAGAGTGGTGTGTGTGTGTGTGTGTGTGTGTGTGTGTGTGTGTGAGGCAGCTTTAATTAATTCCTTAAACGGCAAAGACTTGTCACCAACTAATTTTTCCCGACGCCGTTGCTTAATGATCTGAATATTTTTACCACTTCTTAAAATAATTTGTCTTTGTAGAACTTGGTGAAGAAGTCCCTGCTCCCAGTCCTACTGTCCGGTCACCAGATCTGTGTCCTTTCAGAACATCCCTAAAGGTTGCAGGCAGACTCTGGCAGATCCTGTTTTTTTTTCCTCTCTGTGTTCTGTGTGATAGCAGTTCTCAGCTTTAAGGCACATCTGCCCTCGCTATGAACAGGGTGCACAAGGTGAAAGACTAGTCCTGATTCAGATACAGGGAAATTTCACACCTGTGTCAAAAATGTTGATATTATGTCTGCAGTAGAACACTGGTGTGTGATTCTGAGACACCTGTCGTTAAATAATAATAATTTGAACTACACTGCCTGGCCAAAAAAAATAGTCAATCACACACTTTATTATTTCGCGGAACCGCCTTTAGCTTTGATTACAGCACATATTCGCCGTGGCATTGTTTCGAAGCTTCTGCAATGTCACAAGATTTATTTCCATCCAGTGTTGCATTAACTTTTCACCAAGATCTTGCATTGATGATGGTAGAGTCTGACCACTGCGCAAAGCCTTCTCCAGCACATCCCAAAGATTCTCAATGGGATTAAGGTCTGGACTCTGTGGTGGCCAATCCATGTGTGAAAATGATGTCTCATGCTCCCTGAACCAGTCTTTCACAATTTGAGCCCGATGAATATGATCCCATATTTGGGGAAATGGTTGTGTTAGCAGCAGATATGCTTTTAACAGGCTCCCCCCAGCAAGCACCAAGCATGTGGTTCTTTTGAGAATTGAACCCGGAATTATCTGCTTCCGAGGCAGGCGTGCTAACCACTACCCTATGGAACCACCTTGTTATGAAATGTTATGTTTTATAACATTCTGTGGCTCAAACTATAAGGAAAATGTTCATACACTTTTCAGAAGTTCATTAAAAATATTATCTATCTCCATTTTAATGATAATGGTTTTAAAAATGCTGATTAAAAAGCTAATTGTGGTTCTAGAATCACCTTCTTAATAGGACAGAAATCTGGACCACAGTTGAAAATGTCTATGGAGCCTTATCTTGGTGATTTTGCTTAGAGAATATATTTTAGTGAAATAACAGAACAGGTATTTCCTGATGTATTAATAATATTATTATTTTACGCCCCTCGAAAATCCAAAACTCTTTCAAGAAAACTCCGAACTTTGGTAGACACTGTTTTTATACCTGAGCTTGCATTTCAACATTTCATTTTCATCCTACTCTTTTAAAGTATCAATTTTTTCACATATGTTTTATGAAAACTTTTGGTTATTTTTGAGAGAGAAAACAGAACTTATGTCCATACAATTACACTAATTGTGACTAATTAGTATTTAGTTTCAATTTATTTTTCTTGTCCTTGAAGTGGAGTTTGGCGTAATTGTTAGTATCTGTAATGTAATAAGTTACTTTATTACAGTGGTGAATTTTATAGGTATAGCTGTAATGGATATTAACTTTGGACATAAATTCGTCATTACCTCCTCCTCCTCACATAAAATAAAAGACAATGGACCATGTCCATGAAAGCAATGTATCTTTGTTTTATTGAATTATTCATAGTTGCTCAGACACATGTATATACAAATACAGATACTTTTTAGTCAAATTTTTGTTGTTGTTTTATATGTTGTAAAAGAGCAGGTTGGAAAATATTCCCCATTGATGTCATAGTGGGGGCGGGGTTAACAGTGAGGGAACAAGGGCAGCATGTTTTTGGTGAAGGTTATACAAGCACACACACACTCACACACAAAATCGGAAATAATGGAACAGGACAGTTGCACGAAATAAACAGGTGGCTCCTGGGCCAGAATGAGACCAAGAGGGAGGGGGTTTGCACCAAACGCGGAGTGATGTAAAGGTTTACTCCACTTACAATCCGGTTAAGGATTTAATGGAGGGGGTGTGGTAATCCTTGAACCGTACCCAAGTGCAACATATACCAAAAGGGACAAGTGATTCAGGGGTGTTCAAAAAGTGTAGGGCCCTGCTGTAGTCTCCCCGACGCCAGCACCGATTCCATGTAAAAGCACAATGGCAGAAAGCGTCTTGTACACAGACAGGGCTGCCAGGGCAGAGGCTGAAGGGCTAAGGCATGGGAAACTCTCTGTTGCCAAAGAGGATTGCCATTTCCCATTCACTGTGGCAACAGCAAATGAGGAACACACACACACAAAAGTCTCACATTTTTTTAAAGTAAAAAAAAACACATCCACACTTAGATGTATACACACTCCCAGTGCCTTGGGCTGGCAGAGGGAGGACGGACAGTCACAGGGACAGACTGGAACTATATAGAGTGGACTGTACAGATGAGTACAGACACAGTCCTTTTAGGAAACAAACTAATTCCTTTGAAACTACAAAAGCTTCCTGACCCTACTGTAACTTCACGACAATGCTTTGTGTTATGTACATTTGTTATCTGTCACTACACAGCTCAATGACGTCACTCAAATGGGGATGCAGAAAACACACGAACATGAAAGTGGTCAGAAAATCTAGTACAGCTGAAAGAGAAAAAAAAAGCAAGAGAGCAAAAATCAAATATACTTTTTAAAACTTTTTTTAGCATTTTTTTCTCCATTTTTTTTTTTACGTCATCAAGTCCATGCGCATGCCACATAATGAAACCGCGAGATCCTGCAGTTCAAAAAAAGCCGACAGTCCGCTCCGTAGCGTATCATTTTGAAGTTGACCAACATGCTCTCAAACACCAAAGGCAGAAAACGGTTCAAACAGGCCGTCCGTTGAGTCTCAAGTGTTCCTTTCCACGTCAGGATCCTAATGTGAGGAGATGGTGGGTGGGTCGGTGACTGGTTTGAAACATGTAACAAGTGAGCCACTTGTTGGCTAAAGTCCAGCCTCCTGTACACATACAAGGTATGTACAGGTCCCGCAGGTTTTTCCCCCTTGTGTTAGCTCAAAGTTTCGTTAGGCATTGAGGATCAAAGCACACAATGCGTTTCTCAAGAACAGTACACACTCCGCAAAACCCAGAGATGATACCGTGTTCACTTTTAGAAAAGACATAAGAACCAAATTAATACTTTAATATCAAACACTATGTACATCAAGAAGTTTTCATAATAATAATAATAATAATAATAATGATAATAGTCAGTAATCATCATCATAACAATCATAATAATTATACTGTTTTAACAATAGTGTTTCTCCTTTTCTTTTGTCCTCCAGAAAGATACAAAACAGATACTAACCTAACACTTCATCGTTTTATGGTTTGACTACCTCAGGATACACAGTATCCAGTTTATAAGTTGATCCTCATTTCCCAAGTTAAGGTGTGTACAGAATTATCCATGGTAGTAATATTGATAATGACAAATATTAGTATTGGTAACTATAAGAGATTACAGTCGAAGCTGGTTTTTGATTAAACACAAACAAACTATGGTTCTTCTGCTGACGAGCATTCATTTTGATTCTTAGACAGTTCTCATTCCTTGTGGCGTTATCCTGAAAATAAGTACCTCATTCAATGGCCTGGTCTCCTTTATACCCCCCATAGCTGAGCTGCTATTTCCACTGTAATAGCATTGTTACCATAGCAAAGCAAAAAAAAAAAAAAAAAAAAAAGTCAAAAGGCAAAGGCAGTTTTTCTAGGGAAAAATGAAAACAGCATAAAAGGCAGCCACAAAAATGAGAACGAAACAGAAAAAGAAAAAAAAAAAACAGTGCGTGCCTTTTAAGACCAAATGGTAACAGTAAACAGTATGTTTATCGATGAATCAGCTGTTTTCTTCAAGTAGTGTTGTGTGAATTTTTTACTCTTGTTTTGTTAGGCACTCCAGTCACACTAACTTTGGCTACCTCCCGTGTCTTTCTCCATCATGTGCGTCTCCCTAGTTCTCTCCGTGTCCCCTGTTCACCATTTCCATACAACTGCAAGGTCAGTGTTGCTTGAACCCCAACCCCCACCCTTGCTGTGGAAACCTACACCCTGCTCCCGAGACCCCCCAAGCCTTCAGCATCTATTTTTAATACCAGCTATAACTCCCTCTTGCTGCAACATGGGGTCCACACGCCTTTTCATTTTGAACCTCATTAAGAAGTTACCAAAACCAGTAACACTAGGAGCCGAGGCCGGAACAGCAACTGCGCCTGCACTGCTCTTCCTCTGGTTCTTAAAACCCAATCTGTGCCTGTTTGACGTACAAAACTATTCTGTGAAAGTAAGGCAGTTTTAGAGATTTTTTTTTTCTTCTGGTCGTATTTCTTTGAAATTAATGAAACATTTGAACGTGAAACACATAAGCCTGACTTGACTTTGATCACCATGTGTATCTGTGTGGGATTAAAGTGGCAGAACATAACCACAAAGTTTAAAATCTTTTTAAAAATAAGTGCTAAACTAAACCTGTCAGACACAGAGAGCTGAATATTGCTTTTGTTTTAGTGGCTTCTCTTTTCTTGATGCTATGATGCGTTAAATAGAAAGAAGAAAAAAAACTAACAATTGTTTAAAACGAGTATGGCTGGAATACGTAGGGCAAAATCAGTGTTTGGTTGCCTGTGGTATGAAAGATTGTAGACAAAATGAAATGCTGCACTCATTTTTAGCAGGGACTGATTCTTAAACAGTCATTTCAGCAAACACTGGTGGAGGAAAAATACTGCAGATGCAAATGTTGGTGGCGAATAGTGATATTGACTTTTACTCAGACGGAACAGACAACAATCGCTGCTCAGCTCAGTGAGCACAGAACAGGACGACTGTGGTCGTCTGTCTGCCCTGAAATTGTGTGACTAGCTTTCAAAAGGTATCGATCCCTGCTCTTAATGACATTCCGAAAAATATCTGGTGAGAAAGTTTCAATTTGGTTGCTCTGTGAGTCAGACGCTCCGACAATTCAAAAGCTGTTTTCACTGATTACACACTAAACAAAGGACAAGGAAAAATAGGCTTTGAACTCACTCACTGAATCTCTGAGTGACACATTCACATAAACACACAGAAGCGACACGAGGGAAATAATTCAGCACTAATTCCAAACCACGCAGTCTAAAGATTAGTGGGTTAAGGTGCATGTTGCTTGTTTTTTTTATTAGTATTCTCAGTGTGGTGTTTCCCAGACTCAACATTAAAATTAAAACAACTCTTTCTTTTCATAATTTTTTCTTTAGGTTTTTTTTTTTTTTTTTTTTTTGCAGAAAGGCGGAGGCAAATCTTTTTTTTTTTTTTTTTTCACGATGCGACATAATGTCAACAGAAACACATTCAGCCAGAGTTCTTGAGAGGTCTCGGGAAAACTACTTGAACATAATAGATTTCAAAATCCCAGAATCTTCACTTTTTCAACTGTGTAATGCTGCTACTCCTCAAAATTTAGTAAAAACCCTGTATGCAGTATTAATGTGTTTGGGAGGAAAGGTAAACATGGTCACTGCAGTGACACAGATGTGATGTAAAGGGATGTCAAGTCACGGGAAAATAAGAATCACTACGTGTCAAAAAAAGGAGATTTGGCATCTTGGTTGAAGGTCTAGGATGGGGGACAGGTTTTCTCCCGTCCAACATCAACTTTTATCACTCATAGACAAAGAAAGACCACTTAAATATTTCCTTGAAAAATATAGAGGGTTCCTTGAGAAGCCTGCTCTGATGCCCAAACAAGCAAACCTGCTGCACTCAAAGCCCACCCCCTTCCCTGCAGCCATGGGCATATTCAGGCCACACTAGGTGTTAATGCCTTCCAGGACAGAGGGAGGCGCTATAACGTGAAGAGTGCAGCTACGGAGAGCAGCGTCAAAGCCAGGAGCGGACTTGTTTTCTGCAGGTGTGGTGCAGCATTTGTTTCGCTTCGAGAAGGCTCGGCTGGTTCATGGCTGGTATCGTCTAGAAGATAGAAAGAAAATCATTAGAACACAGCTGTGTTTTGCAGAGACTTGTTTTGACAGCTCTAGCTAGCAGATAGAAGGTAACGCTCTTGCGAAAGGCCTAATAATATAGGGTTGCGGTGTAAAGTTAGCCTACGAAGCCACACTCTGACAGCATTTCCAATTCAGGATCTTTACCCTGTCCCTACAGGTGGCTGAGTGAGTTCTAAAAGAGTGATGGTGAATTCTGAGTTGCCATGTCAACTTCCGTTGCTGTATCATGTTTCTGCTCTCATCCTCAGAAACCTACGTTTGTCTAGCAGTGGTATCAATAGATGTGAGCAGCCATGTGCCTGCTGCACCCTGGGAAATGAGCCCAATCATGCACAGCAAAGGACAGAAAGAGGGAACATAGGACGACTGTACTACTATTGTACATTACTGCATTTACAAGTGTGTGTGTGTGTGAGAGAGAAGTGACAAGGCAACAGTAAAAGATGACAGCTGAATATTCAAATTTTCAGAAGCATAATTTGATAAGAAAAATGGAACATGCATGGTGTGAGGCACACATCAAAGTAGCAGGCAGTGAAGACGGGCACGAGAAAAGACAGACAGTGAGGAAGGATTAATGGTAGCTGTGCCATTGTAACACATTCTGATTACCGTGTTTTATCTAAAAGAGGTGCATCTTATTTTCTGATTTTACACAAAACCAGTGAAATAATATCCATAGGCTGTTTATAGGTGCTGAGACCAAGTTGTTCTGATACTAATCTGCCTGTCATTGATAGAAAGGCTGTGCCATATATTTTCTAATATAGGAGCTCATGCTTCTTTACATTGAGTTTCTCAATGTTTAGTGCTTCTACTATATATACTGTATAAACATATAAATACATATATTGTATATATACTATATATATACAGTATATATATATATATATATATATGTATATATATATATATATATATATATNNNNCTGAGTAATGCTCATATATAGTCTGTTCACAACAATGCATAACAAAAACATCAACTCAGGGTCGGGTTTACGAGTTCACAAATTTTTTTGAATTCCATCTTAAGAAACCTTTCAGTAGTTTTCCTTGTATAACTTTTATAATTTTGGGTTTCTTTAAATATCGTTTCAGTTGAGTCTCAGCAGTAGATTTTATTTTATTTTACTGCGTTATAGAGAAGTTGATATTTGAACCAAACACTGGTTCCCATGAATATACTCTAAAAACTATGTTTGCTGTCGATATTAAAAATATACTATTTGAAATGTTCTGCAAGTTCTGTTTTAAATATGGAAAAGCCTTTATTTTTCCTATATCAGTAAAATAAAATATCTTTAGTGTTTAAAAGAAAAACAAAATCTAAACATGTCATCATGAGGTTTTGGAATTAATAGTTGCATTTGTTATAACTGCACTGACAGATGTAATAAAAATAATAAAAACAACCATTAGCCTTCAGCTAGAACACATATTATATTTCGCGTGAGGAGAACGTGTGTGTCTGGGTTTGTGGAGAGAGCTGGTGCTGGGAATAAATCAGGGACATGTGGGAGATGTAAAGAGTTTCATTTCTGTATGGGTTCAACATGGAAGTTGACACAGAAATGTCCGTCTAGAAAGAAAACCAGTCAGTTCTTCAGCAGCTAACATGCATTGAGCGTACGTTAAAAATGGTCGATGTAAACGTTAGAACAAGACCAGGAAGGATTAGGACATGCAACGTGCCACAGAACTGAAAGTACGACTCTGAAACAGTGTAAATATATGTAAGCAGCAACAGTAACGGGATGCCGCTCATGTAACCTGGTGAGGAATCAGTTCAGACATGAGTGGAAGGCACATATCAGCTTACAGGCAAACAGCAGAAAAAGGAAGGAGGCACAGAACAAGAGACACATGTTTGGAGGTCATACTGAAGACACAGAGAGAGAGACACACACACAGATAGAGAGAGAATCAAAAAAGCAGGAAGCCATACTAACCTCGTGGTTCTAATGTATTGTCTACTTTGTCGTTTACATCAAAAACACGGTCATGTACACCTATAGTTTTCACACAGCTGTCTATAACAGAGAATAGGGAGAATGAAAGATCATTAGAGGTAAATGCCAAATAGATCAGTGACATTTGAAGCCCCCTCTCTACGCCCTGGAATCAAACATCCCAAGCAACAAAGCTCATGGCAACATTCAGATGAGGTTATGTAGAGACCTGAGTTTCAATTGGTGTCATCATTTATCAAACTGTTTAAAAGAATAAAAAAGATATCTTAGCAACTACAGGGGTTTGTGATAAACGATAAAAGAGACTAGGAAGTGGGCACAAAGTAAGGACGTAACCAGAGAAGTTCAAATAATTTGTTTTGATTTTTTTAATCCAAACATATACTCGAGAGATCTTTACTACAAAGGCCATGTGTTGCACAAAAACACTTACTTGATGGTCGGACGAAAACTTTGAGCTTGAGGCATGTTTTCCTGCCGTTCTCAGCGATGGTGGAGGCTGGAAAGGAGTAAGAAGACATGGGTGAAAACTCAGAGTAATACCACATATAGATTTACAGGGAAGAAAACAATGAAGTAAAAACATTTCAAACTATATATTTCCTTTATAAATGCATAAATAGATTTGTAATGTAAATATTTCATGTTGTATTGTTTCCTGTGGGTCAATGTTAAACCAACATATTTAGGACAAAACCACATTAGTCCTAGCCTCTTGTGGGAATAATAGCCAGAAAGTATTTACACATGTGCTGTTCTGAGGGAAATCTTTGTGCTTTGCTCAACGTTTCATTGATGGAAGTTCTATTTTCACAGCTGGCAGAAGCTTAGAATGGACCCAGGCATTGACATGATGTAGACGGGTTTAAAACAAAAGGCTTAAAGGATATAATCTTGTGACAACAATTTACATTTATTCAAGGAGCTCATATGTATTTGCATTTCCCAAAAGTTTTTTCAGGGATTCTGGGCTGACACAAGGGATACAAACGGCATTAGGTAGAGATTGTTTGTGCTTGAGGTTTTTCAGAAAATATATCTTTTCCCGTTAAGCCTTTCGAGGGACATATCTGTGAGTGCTAACAAATCTAGTGGCTGTATCAAATAAAAAGGAATATATTTGTTGGCATGTTTTTTGTTCTTCCTCAATGACTTATTTAGGACAACTTCTGGTTTGTACCTGTTTTTTTCCCTAAAGGGTGTCATGGTACTGAGGCTGGCTGTCTTGTGTGAGACCAGGTAAAGGTACGCTGAAGATGTATATCTGAAGTTCGAACATAGCCTATCTATCTATCTATCTATCTATCTATCTATCTATCTATCTATCTATCTATCTATCTATCTATCTACCTACCTACCTATCTATAGATATAGATTGCTGACAAAATAATTCAATTTAATCAAGGTTTAGTGACAGTAAAAAATCTAAAACTTGATTTGAAAAAATAAAAATAAAAACCTAACAAGGCTAGTAGGTGGCTATTGTCTTGTCATGGAGAAGTTGTTCAAATGAATAGATTCCAGTGTAGAGTCCTGCCAAGAATAGCTGTGCAGACATGTGTGTGTGTGTGTCCCTAATGGTGTTGTGTTAGGACACCAGGTGCTGTCTTAGTAGACAAGGATAGGGGTCAAAGACGAGGCAGTGGGAGCACGGTGGCTGCTTACTGCACACATCCATCATGGCGGCGGGACAAGGAGTCATTAAGAAAATACGCTTCAGTCCAGGTTAAGCACCTCAAATTAAATAAAGAAGACCTTTTCCATACAGGCGGCACAATAATACTATTTACTATTATAGTTTTCATTTATGCTTCGCCCCACTGCTACAGAGAGACCATGCCTTTAACAAAGCTGTCTTTTTTATGTCTTCTGTCGATCATTCCACAGCTGATGCAATGAAGCCAAGTGTTTCCAAAGGCTACCATTTGGGAACTGTCAACTCCTGTTCAGTGATCCTGTACTGAACCTCCCCTCTGTCCCAGCTGTGTCACATTCTCCTCTTATCTGTCAGCGTGCTCATATCCACACAGCAGAGCTCAACTGGCAACCCTACGTAATTCTCAGGGCTCACAAGCAAGGAAAAATGTAGTGACACTAATTTGATTACATGGTATTATTACTATTTCTAAATCTATAGCATCAACAATAGGAATATTTTCATTTGTGTACTGGCCGATAAAGGGGAGAGTTCTAGGGGCCCATGATTCAGAGGGGCCCTAATAAAATTATAATGCTGACATAAAATAATATGATATGGTAATAGTTTTATGTATAATAGGATCACGGCCCAGTAAAAATTATTTTCACGGGGCCTAAAATTCCTAGCGGTGCCACTGTCCACAGGTCAACAAATCTTTGAAGAAAAGTTTTCAAACTGACACTGTGGTCACAATATAAATGATATCAATAAAACTGAGGATAAAATAGTGAAGAATATAACAATACGTCTACATAGTTGACATGTCCAGCTGAGAGCAGAGCTTTTAGACAGTGCATTTCAGTTGGAGGCACGGACAAAGTGTTGTTTAAATGGTGTAACACTAAGTGTTACAGTATGTGTTTGTTTCCATAAACACTAGGTCCTGCTCATGTCTTCACTCAAATACCTCCAAACTGCTGACCTTCTTAAATAAATCACACGTTAAGACAAAGACAACCTGTGCTGCAGTAGGAATACACAAAACCCTGGTGGATCTGTCGGCAGCTGGTTGTAGTGAAAAACCATAACAGATTTTTTTTGCTCACATGATTACTAGTTTTTAAATTTAGCTTTTTTTTCTAATTGCTGTAATTCTACAAGCGATGTATCAACTTAGAGAATAACTCAGTATTAATTATTCCTTTTTTATGTACTTGGCGTGCAGTCTACTCTTGTTCCAAATCTTAAAGGCCTTTTTAAACGCATGCTTCACAGTGCTTTGACTCAAAAGATTTTCTACAGCTCATAAATGTTCTGTCTTCCTGCCTCCTGCCTTCTGACCTCTTTTACCATTTTAATGTTGTTGCTCCATCAACTGTTATCTGTTTCTTAGTCAGATGTCACCGTGCCAGAGAAGTGACCCGAGATCACTCTCTCGCACTTTTCACACCTCAGTTCATTTTCTAACAGATGCTCGATGGAAGAGAGAGCAGCAGAGTGAGAACAGAGAGAAAAGAGATGAGTGTGAAGACCTTATTATTCCGTGGTGGAGGCGGCCGATGACACGCTAATGAACCTTAGCCACCGTCACTCACCCACTCATACACACCAGTACCCACACAATTTATGTCACTCTTCTTATTGCTCCACTACTCTGCACTGGTTTATGGAACCATTTCCAATGCACACTCATACACGCACGCGCTCATCCACAGATGTCCTGTCTTTATCATTGTTGAGGGCAGAACTGAGTCACAGCTATCGACACCAGCCACTTAGCAACGGCAGCTAATCATGAGAGAAGTATGGACCTGATGAAAGCGGCAAAGAGCATGTGGGCCACTCTGTCATGATGACAGTCTTGCCGCCGTGTTTGCACTTTTGCCTCCAAAACATCATTAACATGTTATGTAAAGGAATACACTTGACAGACGCAATGGAAGGAAAATATCACTTGAACACCCTGGTACTCTTCTTGTAAATGTAGATATGATCTTTATTTCTCCTACAGCACTGAAACTGATCCTATGCCCCGTTAAATACAGCATTCTGGGATTCATACCATCTAGTTGAGTTGTGTTGGGAAAGCAATATACATATAAACAGTATATATACATACATATAAACAGTATATATACATACATATAAACAGTATATATACATACATATAAACAGTATATATACATACATATAAACAGTATATATACATACATATAAACAGCTAGACATCAATGGTAATTTTATTGCAAACCCAGCACTGACCTTCACAACTACCACAGCAGTGTGACCAAGCCTGTGCTATATTTAATATGAAAATACACAAAATGTATGTGTTTGTAATTCTATCCGTGCCTCAGTGACGTGATGCAGCTGATAACTCCAGACAACTCTATAAAACGTCATATTGTTGACGTGTGTTTCCAAGTCTCTGTGGAAGACCCTTTATTTCACGTTTTATGCGGATCCTTTCACCTGGGTCCAAACTGCCCACAGCGGTGTCTGTTTATTTTAGATCGACTCTCTGCACAGTCAGTTTATTGCTCTTGCAGGCTGTAACATCAACACCTGCTTTTTCTGGTTCCCATCAGGCTCACAGTCTCAACCATCAATCCATCCAACCTAGGCAAGTGGTCGCTTTGAAGGACAGAGACCCTGCCATGAAGCCCCAGAGATGGAGAATATTGGGGGGTCAGGTTACTCCTACGGGCTTGTCCCTCGGCTGATAATGGCAGGTCCCATCCATCCACTGCATAATGCATTACCATTAAGGCGAATGGAATGAACTAGAATCCAATTATGTGAGAACAAACAGGTGGGCAGTGTGGCTTACTCACATTATTGTTTCAATCAAAAGCCAAACAAAGCCTGGGACAACTGTTCTGTTATCCACAAAACAGATTTTCAACTCTTCCGCAGGAGAACTCAACAGCGTATTCATGACTTGAGGAAATCTATTCAGGCAACTTTCTTGATAGGAAGCAAACTTGTCAGGTTAGCTTCATGTAACACATCCTATTTGTTATCCATCATTAAGAAGGTGCAATGATTCAGCTGCACAAGGTTATTCAATTCAACTGCTACATTAAACTTTGTCATTTAAATAATGAAACCAGAGTCACCTTGGGTCTTCTCAGAGCCAGTGAACCTTGAGACATTTGGATGCAACCTTTCAGCACAACCCTAAGACCTAATACAAATTGCAGGCTTGCGAGCAGGACTGCACAGATGGCTTTGCAATCAGTTGTTAAATGAAAAACTCAGGCTTCCAACAACACACACCAAATTATTTTGTTTGTCCTGCACCGACATTGTGTCATTGTTTGGATTTGATGAACGTTTCTCTGGTACATGTGAGGTCAGATTAGAACAATAACCTGTTTAACATCATTTGAAAGCATAATCACAATGTTGGAAAAAACCTCAGATGATAAACCTCAGATGATAATGACAAAAAAAAACAACAAAAAAACAAAAACAATGATAATTAAAAAGTTTAGTATGTAAGCAAGAAACGCATCACTAAATTTTGGGACCTTTTTATTGCATTATTATAATTTTATTTTATTCTAATGTATTGTCATATGTTGTCATGCAAGCTAAACTCACTGGTAAAAATCTATTGATTTTTTTTAAAAATCCAATAGTTTCTTTCTTATTTTAAATCATAATATGTACATTAAAAATATATTGCATTTTTTATATTTTATTTATTTACCTTATATTTTACTATTATCTTAGAATATATGAGATTCTAGAAATTCCACATAATGGTCTTTTTTTTTCTTGTGTCATTGTGTTATTTAATTTAAATTTTAAGGAAGGTTTAACTAAGGAAAAAATACATTTACAGTTAAATGCAA